TTTTAAAGCATAATTTTGTCACCAGCCCTTCTGATTGGAGTAGCTGTGAATGATCACCGCCCACTATTTCGTATGCTGCTGTGCTCTTTAAACTTCCTGTTCCTCTGCTGCAGAGTGTTTTTGTAAAGTCAGGAAGAGACAGGATGTGGAGTGGAGGAAGTTAATGCATAAACTTGTACCATCTGCTGCTCAACTGTTTCATAGGTTGTGTTCTCTGTACATGGATGTGGCACTTCCAGCAGTCAGTTTTAAATTGTATCTATATTCTAGGCAGTTTTCATACAGTTACTAGCAGGTATTTGGTCTGGGTATTAACCAAACCCAGACCCGCTTGGTGCTGGTAAGGGTGCTGTACCATGTGCCCTACAACCATGCCCTGGGATGTGGGGCACGGACCAGTGTGTCTGCATACCTTGCAGTGTTCCCTCATTGTTAAAGCCATGCATTGCTCAAGAATCCACTTTTGTTGTACTTTTCACCAAGCTTTTTTTGTGAATCTGGTTGTTCTCTGCACCCTGTAGATTTTGTCTTTTCTGGCTGGAGACACTAGTTTGCATTGGTTCTTTGTTTTTTTAAAAAAACAGTTGGCTGGCTTTCCTGTCTTTTAGACCTTGGGAACTCTTGGTCCTCAGTTGCTGAAATAATTAAGCTTTATACATGGACTAAATGTAAGATGCTTAGGGCATCACCCATGACAGAATATGACCCGAATGTAGGGAAAGAAATCTTTAGTTTATCTACCTACACAAAACACCAGACCAGAGCAGGAGCTTCGTCTAAGAGTACAGCTGTGTCACCTAATTTTTGCTGAATAGGATGCTCGCATCACTTTCTCCAAACTCTTTGCCCTATGAATGGAAAACGACTAACCTCCTGAATGCATTTATTTTAAAACATTCATACCCTGCAGTCTTTGTATAAAATTCACAGCACAGTTATATATAGTATATTGTCTATCCTGTGGATTTAGGGCAGATGAGAACAGTTCCACCCAAAACGGAAGATGAGACACAATGTTTTGTTCGCATCCTAGCACTTCTGGATAAGTTTTTTGTAACATGTTTTTAAAATAAATAAATAAATAAGAATATCATTTTTATTCTACTATAGAAAGTTTAATCCAGTTTGTATCCCCACTGGAGAGAGAAGTGGGATATAAATATCTAAATCAGAGATTCCCAACTTTTTAAAGCCCGTGGGCCCCTTTGGAATTCTGCCATAGCGTGGTGAGTGCAGCCACAAAATAGCTGCCACAAAGGTGGAACCAGCCACAAAATGGCTACCGCAGCTTACTTTCAGTCATACAGTGAAGATCCTCTTGGCAGCTGCTGCCAAAGCAAGATTTTTAAAAATCTGTACAGCCAATCATGAGCCTTGCTGGGCACAAGCCCCACTTGGCCCTGCCTGCTTTCTAAGAACACTTGGTGGGCACCAGAATAGGAGTTAATGGGTGCTTTGGCACCCACGGGCACCATGTTGGTGACCCCTGATTTAAATAAATATATATCCTTCCCAAAGCATTGACTAGCACATACAAAAGTCTTAGGGAGAAAAGAGAACATTAAAAACAAATCAAACCTTACATTTAAAGAGTAAAATCTCTCTGGTGCAGCTGCCACTGCCAGGCATACATGTGATGCCTCTGTAACTCATAGTCAAAAGGGCCAAAGTATTAGCAAGTTAATTCATCAAGGTCCATAAAATGTGAAATCTTTCTCAGCAAGTGCTTAATCTCTAGATGTGTTGGCTGTGGTTCTTGCAGCCGAGGCTGCTGTTTCACTTTGATTTGCCCCCATACTGGGAAGAAAAGAAGCAGCTATCCCATGAGCCCTTCCGTTGAGTAAAGGAAGATGGGGGGGGGGATATTCTCCTTGAAAAGAACGCTCATCCCAGCTGTTTCTGCCCAGGAGGATAGAAATAGTTATAATCTATTCCAGAACTGCATGTTCCAAGCACCCCAGGAGGAAAAACTGCAGTAGTGCGTCCGGCAGTAGCTACACTTGTAAACTACCAAAGCAATCAGTTGTTCAGGTTCAGAGGAGAAAAGATTCTTGCAAAACAGAGCTTTTTTTTTTTTAAAAAAAAAAATCTTAATGAAACAGAAGAGCTGTGGGTTAGGAAAGGTGTACATGGGACGCTGTAGCCAAAGAGCTCCACACAGCAAATTGTCTTGTTCTCTGCAGCTTTGCAAGTTCCTGGTTTTTACTGGCATGCGCTGTCATGGAGTACTTGTATGTGGGGGTGTGAGTTGATAGCTGTTTCCTGGGGGGGGGAGATTTGTGTCATTCCAAACCACACCTTCTCTGATAAATCTTGAATCATAAACTGTGTACATATTGCTACGCAGTCAAAGGGCTTCAACAGTTGGAACATTGACTCCAAGGTATGTATATGTGCCTTCAGTGTCCTTTTGTGCGCGCGGGCGGGGGGGGGGGCATATTTTCTTTAAAATAAATTTCTGTTTTCTCAGTTCTCCTCCAGCTACCTACTTTGGGGACGGGGTGGCAAATGGTGGTAAGGGTGTCTTTGAGTACTCCTTGGAAGCTTTTGGAACCAAGAAACAGGAAGTCCAAAAAGCAGGTGTTATGTTAATTAGATTATAAATAGCCAGGGACTGTTCTGAAAGAGACTGCAAAATGGCCTTTGCTTGAAAATGTTTGGCACTAAATAACTTTTAAAATAAATACTTTTAGGCCTTTTAGGCTCATGCGCTTGTCTTGCACACAGTGACGAAAATAATCATGCCAGCCTGTTTTTTCCATCCCCTATGGCGAGGACCCCTTTTCTGACTCTCAGCCTTCAACATGTGTGCAAGTGTCAAGTGTGTTGTATGTTTCCTGTGTCCCTGGAATCGGGCTATAAAGGCAATCCTCTGTGCTTCTAAAGGAAGTATGTTTTTACTGCTGTGTCCCTGCAGGCATGTTTTGTACTTTGCATGTGTTAACCAGACCTTTTGGTAATCTGACTCAATGCCTACTATATCTTTTGTTCTAAAAGGTTGCCGGGCAGAGGTTATTTCACCCCTGTCTGTATGTACAGTGTTTTCTCACCATGCCTAGATGTATGCTTGAACTGAGGCTGCTGCAGTGAGTTCCTGAACTCTCCTTGAAAAAGGGCTGAAGGAGAGGACAGGAAGAGCCATATTCAAGTAAAGAGGAAGTGGGGATAAACACAGCGCATGGCCTTCACCCGAAGGCACCAGATGTGTGTGAGCAATGCATAAACTTTGTAACTAAGTAAACATCGGCCTAACGATGCAACTTTTATATTTTGCCTCCTTCCCACCCCCCAAGTCTGAACCTCTAAGGCTTGCTTTAGTAAATGTGTAGCTGTAGGGATGACGTAGTCTCCTCTTGGAGTGGATGCAATTTTCTACACAGAAGTTATCCCCAAGCAGGCCTGTAGCTAGGATTTTGTAATTCAGGGGGCCTTTAAATAAGTCAGGGGGCACTGACGTCCCAAAATAAAAAATAAAATAAAAATTTTAAAACTCACTTTTATGGCATTTGCACTTTGCTTGCCTACATGGGGAAGCAAGCCACACTTGGGGAAGGGGCGGTGGTGGGGAGTCCTCCAGGTGGCCCAGAGAGTTGGGAGTCCTCCAGGTGGGCCAGAAAGCCGGGGGTGGGTGGGGCTGGATGGAAGTCGGGGGGCTTGGCAGGAAGTCAGAGGGCCAGGCCCCGAAATGCCCCACTGTAGCTACAGGCCTGTCCCCAAGTAGGAATCATTTTGTGCAAAGATAGCTAGGAGTTTGAAGTCGTGCACCCAGAAATCTGAAAGAGCTGCTGATTTAAAATAATGAATTTACTTTGTGCACAATGTTGTTAAGCAGTGGTTCTTTAAGAAGTCATTTGTGGTCACTTTCCTGATCATCTTTGGATATTTATAAACCATTTAATACCTGCTCTCTGATTTCTTGTCTCTTTGTTCAAAAAAATGCCGTTGGATGTATACAGTGTAACCTTTTTTGACAGTTTGGTAGATACAAGAGTCCTGTGTGGTTCAACAACTTGCTTCTAGGAGTTGACCAAATAGGCATGTGTTGTCTTATTTATTCTGCTTCTTTTACTCTGTGTACTATTTTGACGCTGGCTCTGTGTTCATGAAAGGTCATCCTTATGCTTTCCTTGATGTGCCTTTTTGTTCTTTTTACGGCAACTGTGCCTGGCACTGATTGTCTCTGCTCCATTTGCTGGGTCACAGACAAAACCTCTCACCTGTTCTACAGTTTCTCTTCCTTATTAAACAAGAGCATGCTGTGTAGCCAACTCTGCCCCCCCTTCCCCCCCTTTTTTCGGCCAGGGCATTGAAGGTATGTGTGCTTCTTAGCTGGGAGAAGTTTATTCTCCCCTTCAGGAATTTGTGATCTGACCCAGCACGTTGAGAGCTGTTCGCAGGAGATGAAACTGCATTTACCTGGCAGGGACTGGAGCCCGTGTTTAACTGTTTGCATCTGGGAAGCAGTTGTATGATGTTGCATTTGCGGACTTGATTAAATTCTTTCTTGGCTTTTGCCACAATCTGTGGAAGAAACGCCTCTCTTGAGATCTGCAAAAAGCAGCACTTCTGGCCACGTTTTGAATGACTTCATGACACAGAACTAGCAATTAGTCTGTTTCAGACTTTGGAGTGTTTGTCTCTGAGTTTGGTCTATTTGGGTTCTTCTTTAGCAAGGCTTCTGAGCGGTCATTGCTGTCAGGCCTGTCTTTTGGATGTTGGGAGTTCCTTTTGGCTGTTTTAGTAGCTCAGTTGACTTTATTTATTTTGCAAAGAGACGGGGAGGCTTTGTTTAAAAACGCTGCTGCTGCTGTGCTGGTGAAAACAGAGCCATCCTATAGGTGTCCTTTCAGACAGTGTAAGAACCACTAGAAGAGTAAATTCCGCACATGTCTGTCTTCAGGATCATGGTAACTGTCAGCATGGGGTAGAAGAGATGGAAGGAGCTAACTCTCTGTGTGTAGACACAAGAATAATCCTTCTCTCACGTGTCTCCTGTACAGACGCATTGCTAGCAGACCTGGAATCGACTACCTCCCACATCTCCAAGCGGCCAGTCTTTCTGTCGGAGGAAACATCCTATTCCTACCCAACTGGAAATCACACATACCAAGAAATCGTTTTACCTCCCCCGGTGCCACCACCTCCTTCTAGTGAAGCCTTGAATGGGACCGTGACTGAGCCTTTAGACCAGTGGCAACCCAGCATCTCCAGAAATATCCACCAGCAGGTAAGGGGTTGCTGAGGATGGCGGGGGTTGTCTTCATTATGCTTACGGAAGTGAGGAATTCATAGATAACGTCTGCTGAGTTGGTGTAAAGCAGGTAGATTCAGCCAAGCCAGCATTATGTAGAGAGGGAGAGATCTTTCCACTAAAGGTTCCAGATATAGCCATCCAGTTGCTTTGGTCGTAAAACCTGAGTCTTCCATATCTCCTGTCTCCCAGCTGGATGGTGGGTGCTTCCTAACGCTTCTGAGTGCTGTCGGGTGCTTCTGTGTTGTACTAGAAGAAGCAACGACTCACTTGGCTGGACATTTTTGTCGTGTTGTATTGTGAGTAGACCAGTGATATTTACATTGCGTTACCAGCTGGACTTTGGTGCTTCTTTTCCTCCCCCGGAAACTTACTGTTTCCTCTTTTCTCTGGCACAGCCCAAGTCTTCTGATTTAAGTACAGAAGCCTTAATTGATGGCAGAGTACACAAGTTGCTAGAAATTTTTTTTGCCCCCCCCCCCCAAACTGACCTTATAGTTTCACACCCTGAAAATGTTAATCACAGCCGCCCTCCTAGTGTTATGCTACAAACCACAGCAGAATGAGGTGGATATTAATCACTCACCTTGCAGTCTTAGGAAAAGAGACGATGGTTTCTGTAGCTCAGAGGTGTATGAGACATGAGATTAAACTGGAGGAAGTATGTGTTTCTGGACGGGGGAATGAATGCCTGTTCTAGGGATGAACAGTTTGTTAGCAGGCTGCATCCTGTTTGTTCCACATTCCAGGGTCTCAGTCACGCATGATACATTGCAGTTGGCTCTCAAAATTGTTTGGGTCTTTCTTTACTCAAGCAGTTAATGAAAAGCCTACAGGAGGGGCCCTTCAGTTTTTTTGAACAACGCTTCGGTCACCGAATCTGCTGTTTGTGTGGAACACTTCTAGAGTTGAGTCCAAATGCAGCAGTTGTTGTACTAGAGGCTACACAAATTTAAAGGAGACTGACTGAGGAGTAGGGACCAAGCTTGTTTGCTCTCTAAAATAAAAAATAAATACATCCAGAACTAAGTGCTGCTTGGAATCCACAGCCTAGGTTGTGGAAGCCTTTCCTCCTAATTCCGCACTTGAAAGGGCTGGCTGTAGTTATTCATTGGAAAAGGAACAGTACTCTGCACTTGCTCTGAAATACAGTTTTTACTTCACACGTTCCAGGGGATGGATTTAGAATAGGCTCTGGGGTTAAGTCTTGGCTCAAATTAGGCCCTGAATCTTCATCTCCGAGGTATAAAGAGCAGAACAGGCCATTGAATCCTATTTTTCTTTCTTTTTCTCCCCCCCCCCCCTCAGTAATTGTTTTAACACTGTAACTAAGGGCCAAACTATGTGTTATCCAGAGTTCTGTATAACTTTCCCAAACTTAAAAAACCCCAACAAAACAAAGTGCAGATATTGGAGGATGCAGTTAGGAGAAAGGGAAGACTGCTTGCCTCACCTGGAGGGTGAATAATCCTTTCCCTTCCATGCTGTTATTCCTTTTAGATCTCTTTCCTGTGCATGTGCATGCTGGTTTTCTACCAGCTAGAGAAAAAGACATGGAAGGAAACCTTTAAAAAGCATCTTGGGGAAAGATATTTTGAGAGGAGTAATTACTGTTGTGCATGCGCGCACCTTTTCTTAGCTTGCGATTACGGTCTCCTCCTGAGGCTCCACTGAGACAAAGTTGCATGGAATGTGTAAATTGAACCCTCAGAATATGAGCTGTGAACCAGGAGGTCCCTTATTCAAATTTGTCTTTGGTTATGAACTCACAAAGTAGCTTTAGAAAAGCAACCTTGGCACACACACACACCCGCCGATTTGTGACATGTGTGTAAAGTGCCATCAAGTCGCAGCTGATTTATGGTGACCCCTGTAGGGTTTTCAAGGCAGAGACTAACAGAGGTGGCTTGCCATTGCCTTCCTTTGCATAGCGACCCTGGACTTCCTTGCTGGTTTCCCATCCAGGTATGAACCGGGGCCAACCCTGCTTAGCTCCCGAGATCTGATGAGCTCAGCCTAGCCTGGGCCACCCACGTCAGGGCTGATTTCCAACATACAGATAATGTTGATCTACCTTGATGGTTTGGTATGAAGACTGTTGAGAGAATGTGAGAAGATTTATTTTTTGGGGGGGGGTTCTTAAAGTGGGACTTTAAACAAGCATCTGACAAAGTGGTCTTTGGCCTACAAAGGTTTCTAGACCAATCCGTCTTTAAGTTGCTACAAGACTCTCTTTTCTTTTTACTGCAACCGACTAACATGGCAACTCCTCTTGAACATGTACACCTACTAAGCTTTACCCAGCAATGACGCTTATATAATATTATGGTTTAGGAAGGGGAAGGGAACAGAGAAGGGCCCGGTTCTGGGACAGAAAGATTTTTTTGCCCATGTGTCTTGTATATCCTAATAAATTTAAATAACTTCCACAACATTTATCCACAGCCACAGTCCCAGTCTCCTGTGTACAGCTCCAGTGCCTCTGTTTCCAGAGAGTGTGTCATCTCTCCTACACGAGCTAGTGAAGAGGAGCACGTCTACAGGTAGACCACCTTCTCTCAAACTCCCCCCCCATTCCTGTTTATGTTGAGGCCAGCAGATGGATTCTTATTGCATTGAATATTCATGTAATAAAATTCGTCAAGGTGGGGAAATTTCAGCTTATTTAAGAACGTTTGCTTATTCAACTAAAATCTTTTGCTTTTCTTCTATGGTATTCAAGGTAGTGTCACATGCTTTCAGACTAGCATGGCAGCAATGTAGCAGTTAAGAGACCTAGTTTTTATTTTGTGGCCTGACATTTATTTTGGATCTGCTTTTAGTTAAGGTATATTGTGATACATGACTCTGTTTCTCCAAGTGCAAAGGGAGGATTTTGTCACATATCTTTCCCCCCCAAAAAAAACAATTATTCCATGTCCATTAACTCACAAAATGGACCACAGGCTGGGTTGTAAGGTTACTTGATGAGCTACAGAATTAATAAACTGTTTCATCCAGTCAAAAAAAATGCTTCATTTTGGAAGGGAAAAGTTTTGTGTCATTTGACACATGGTTCTTAATTCTGGCACTCTGATGCCATAAAGGAATGGCAGTGGGTAGGGAAAGAGTATGTATTGCCTTCCTTTTCGTTCCTATGTGATTGGGACCAGTGGTAACTAGGGGTCAGTTAGCCCAGGAAATAGAAAGTAGTTCCTTGTTTGTGGGTGACCATAATTTAGTGTTAGAGCATGCACTGCATGCCCAAGGACTTAGGTTTAATCCCTGGCCTTTCCAGTTACATGACCTTAGCTAAGCTGAGAAGGACCTCTGCCAGAGACCCCAAAGAACCAGGGCCAGTTTGAGTAGACAATACTGGGCTAGATAGATCAGTGCTCCAAAAATGCTTATATAACCACAAATGACCATTTATCAAGTGGTAGTGCACTATAACATGTGTCAGTATTTGAAGTAAGCTGGTTCTTTGGGTAGTGGCCTGGGACCATTTTACTACATCTGATGTATTAACTTACCACTTGGCAGGATGATACAGATAGTGAAACTACTCTAGGGTGAGAATTTATTTGGAGACCGTTCAGTCCACCTGTATTTGGTGCTCAGGAAGGCCCTATCAAGTGTCAAAGAAGATTTTACTGCTCACCCCTCTTTCTGATCAAGTACTGGTGTGTGATTAAAATCCTCATCCTGACTTGGCAGGTCATTATGGGTAGCCGATTTAGTAGCAAGTTACTGCTTGGGTAAATCATTGTCCATGTGCACCAGTTATCTGGTCATGCTGAAGGGAGATGGATGACGATGATCGTTCTGATAGCAGTCCTGTATATCCCAGCCAGGACCTCTTAGGGTGAATAGCATAGACTGAAGCTCAGATGCATGTTTATAAACATGCTGGGGAAACACCTTGGCTCAATGTTAAAGCATCTGCTTTGCATGCAGGGAAGCCCCTGGCTCAGTGTCTGACATCTCCGTTTTTAAAAAAAGGATCAGGCAGCAGGTGATGAGAAAAGGCCTCTGACTGAAACCCTGCAAGAGACTTTGCTCATCAAAGTAAACAATAGTGACCTTGATCTACCAATGGACTGATTCAGTATAAGGCAGCTGTATATGTTCAGGGACATGTGACGAGTCAGAGCTCCTTGCTGTTGACGTTGCTTGTTGTTCAGAGTTGTCAGTGTCCTTGATGCCTTACAGACTAATGTAGGTAAAAAGTCAGGTGCTGTCCCCCCAAGGATTTTGCAGTCTAAATGCTGTAAACGGAAGTAACAATGAAATCAGGGAAAGGAAGGAAGAGGCAGCGATAACTACAGATGAATCTATGCAAGTGTACTTACATGCGTTTTGCTTCATTTGTGGGCCAAAGGGCTTTTGAGGAGGAGCCAGAGGTGGCATCATGTAGATGTTCTGTAACATGTGTGTCTGTCATATCCACCACATAGTTAGAGTCTCCTCTCCATACCTTAGGGTGTTTATAGGTAAAACAACAACAGTACAGCAGTGTACAAGAAACATTCATGCATACCATCCAGTGTGTGAACGGGCTATCTGCGGTCTTCTGTGCAGAAACAGGAGATGTTGTACACTCAGTTTTGAAATTTCGTGAAAGGGGTGGTGGGTGCCATTACAAAATGGCTGCAATGGGGGGGGGAGCCAATCACAAAATGGCTGCCGTAGCAGAAGAGCCAGTCATAAAATGCTGGGAAATCCCAAGGCAAGTGGCCTACTATGATGGATAAAGGTGCTCCCAATAGGAGCCCCTTACAGATGCCAAAGTTCTGTTCTTTTTCAGACACCACCTGTTACTTGGAAATAAAGGAAAGCCAGTATTGGCTTTTTGCTTTGGGAAGGATATGCTGTTTGGTTTAGATTTCCAAAGAAAGGGAGAATTTGCTCTTACGAGGCCACAGCTAGAGGCTGCCAAGCCAACAGAAAACTGTGCTTGTGGCTAGGCTGAGAGTGTAGGGCTGTGTGACATGCCTGTCTGGGATAAACTTAACATTTTGCCTACCTGGAGCTCCCTGTTCCATCCAAGACCTGCTGGTTTTTATCTGCAAGATTCAAGAGGCAAGTGGACACCAGGGAACATATCAATGGGTGCTGTTGTGCCTCCTGGGTACCCTTTTGGGGATTTGGTGTAGTGCTTAGGAGCGCGAACTCTAATCTGGGAGAACCGGGTTTGATTCCCCACTCCCCCACATGCAGCTGCTGGTGTGACCTTGGGTCAGTCACAAGTCCTTTCAGAGCTGTTCTCTCAAGAGCAGTCCTCAAAAGAGCTTTCTCAGCCCCGCCTACCTCACAGGGTGTCTGTTGTGGGGAGGGGAAGGGAAAGGAAAGGAGATTGTAAGCCACTCTGAGACTCTGAATGAAGGGCAGGACATAAATCCAATCTCTCCTCCTCCTCCTGCACCTTGTTAGGGGTTTAAGGCTTTTGAAGAACTAGTTTTCGTACAAGCAAATACACACAGTAATGCAAGTCATCTTTTTAGAAAGAGCGCGAAGTTCATGACTGACTCACCCTCTTCCTTTTCCTCTGAACTCCAGTTTCCCTAAAAAGCAGAGGTCTGCTGAACCCTCTCCCACCCTGATGAGCTCCTCACTGGGCAATAACCTATCAGAACTGGACCGACTGCTACTGGAACTGAATGCTGTTCAGCACAATCCTCCTAGCGGCTATTCGGCAGGTAAGGGCTAGCAGCTCCAATGGCATCAGGCAGCAGAAAGCAGATAAATTAAATTGTGGGGGAAGGGGACTGTGGAACGTCCATCTGCTATAAACGACTTGTCTTGAGGGGAGTGTTATAGCTGAGCTTGGGATACCTGTCACTCCACTGGGAGCAGCACAAGGCCAGTGGGGTTGAAGAGGAGAGGGGAGGGGAGATCCCTAGTGGCCTGCTGTAGTTCTTAAGTTATCTTTTGAGGAGCAGAAATGTAGGAGCCTGCAGTGGAACTTTGGGTACAGAAGGGGAGAGAATGTGCCGTGTAAAAAACGTTCTCTTCCGAGTCCTCTTTATCTGCCCTGCCTTCTTCCCGTAACTTTTGCCAGTGCCTGTTTTGTTGCAAGTGGTTCTTATCTGCCTGCCTGTGTTCTTTTCCTTGCAAGATGAAACCACTAGGACCCCCTCGTTGCCCAGTGGGACTGGCTCTCACTATGGCATCCCGGAGAACACTACCTCTTTGAACACAAAGCCAGCAGCCCCTGTGAAAGAGAAACCCAAGCGGAATGGAGGTCATGACATCGAGGACGTGTGTCCTAGTGTGGAGAGCCTTTTGGATGAACTGGAGAGCTCGGTGCCTAGTCCAGTGTGAGTAACGATTGGGCCGCTCCTCCCTTAAGTGCATGACTGTCAGATAGAGAAAGCAGTGGCACTCCACTCGGCATCTACTGGGGCCTTTTGGTGAGGACCTGCCGAAGAGAAATGGAAAACTGGTGAATCTGAAAAGTTTGGTTAGCATTTACCCCACAACAACTAGAAGTGAATTTTCACCAGGCGTGTAATATCAGGCTTCCGTCTGCAGATATGAGGACTAGATTCTGGTTTTCAGAAAGCTGAGTTTTTGTGCCGTGTGCAGGAAATGAGGATAACAGTGATGATTTTATAGAGCACCCACAGTAAGATAAGAGGCAAGATAGAGAGAAGAGATTGGATTTATACCCCGTCCTTCACTACCCGAAGGAGTCTCAGAGCAGCTTACAATCCCCTTCCCCTTCCCAAAACAGACACCCTGTGAGCAGTGTTCCCTCTAAGCTGAGTTAGTGTGAGCTAGCTCACAGTTTTTAAGCCTCCGGCTCACACATTTTCCTCTTAGCTCATGAAGGATGGCTCCAGAGCAAACTAATTTATGCAGTGGCCAAATCTCTCATTCACAACTTTAATGCCAGTAGCTCACAGAGTAGAATTTTTGCTCTCAAGACTCCACAGCTTAGAGGGAGCATTGCCTGTGAGGTAGGTGGGGCTGAGAGAGCTCTTTCAAGTACTACTTATGAGAGAACTGCTTTGAGAGAACTTGTAACTGACCCAAGGTCACACCAGCAGCTGTATGTGGAGGAGTGAGGAATCAAACCTGGTTTCCCCAGATTAGAGTCCACTACACTGAACGGGATAGACACCCTGCCCCTTCTGGTTTATATCCTAAGAGTTTAGACACAAGGGAAGAAGGGAAAAAGGGAAAAGTAGGACAGGTAGGACATCAGTTTGAATATCCTGTTCTGAACAGGTGAGATTGCAACAAGCATAGTGATGGGAAGAGCCGAGTGCATGCCTGGAGTTGAAGGGCTGTAATGATAAGCGATGGGAAGAAGAAAAGGGTGCAGTGGATGCAGTGGGCATGAGAGGATGGAGGACACCATGTTGGGTTTGTTTGCTAAGTGTATGTTCTATTTTGCTTCCATATTCAAGGCAGCATACAGGAAGTCTGTCATCTAGACATTGACCAGGCCTGGTCATGCTTAATTTCAGTGAGGCTGTTTGTGTCATGTGCTCACTAAGCAAACCCTAGGATCAGGAATTCCAAAAGGAAAGGGTTACTACAAAATAATAGAGACTGAGAAGGGGGATAGAGAGACAACACACACTTTTAGAAATCTATAGTGGGGGGAGTCATATGATAATAATGATCAGGGGAATGGGTTAAGTAAGAATTCAGGAAGGAGGAAAGAAAAGGAGGAGGTGGGAAGGTGTGTTGCAGTCATCAGCGCAAGTAATAATAAATAAGCAAAAACCGTAGTTGATTCAGTAGAGGGAAAAGGGGTAGAGTGAAGGGCTGTGCAGTGGCAGAGCATCCACTTGGCATGCAAAGGCTCCCGGTTCAGTCTTCAGCATCTCCAGTTAAATAAGAAGGTGTGGTGACCTCTACCTGAGACTCTGGAGAGCTGCTGCCAGTCTGAATAGACAATACTAACCTTGATGAACCAGTGGTCTGATTCAATATAAGGCAGCTTCATGTATTCACATGTGTGCATTTTTATAGATGTTCTTTTCAGTTTTGCAGTCAACAATTGAGTGAACATGTAGACAAGGAGGATCAAAAGATAACACTGTGAGGAAACAATGCAATTATCTAGTAGAACAGAGAGGGAAGAAATTTGTGTGATGAGGAATGGGGGACTAGCTTTGTTTCAGATCTGCACATCCCTGTCTTCCGCTTAACTTGCAGTGAGTAGCTTCCCTGTGCAAAGACATATTTGGATTTGGGGGCTCAGCATTTTCAGATGGTACAGCTTTGTAGCGGCATCTGAAATAAAGGTGGGGTACTTGTAGTTACCAAGCTGCCTGTTTTATTATCCACATAGTTTGTCCTTAGGCAGTGGGAAACAAGGGTTACTCAGAATGGACTGTTGTGCCCATGGGTGTCTCAGCTAATGGATGCTCTGGTTTCTGAAACAATCCCAGATTGTGCTTTTATTGCCATCCTAAATAACAGGTGTGACACATATGTTTATTAACTAAAAGATTTATACCCCAACTTTCTCTAGTGGCTCAAGGCAGTTTATAATTTCATAAATTAAAAGCATACAAAATACAGCAATGCCTTGTTAACCTCCTTGCCCAAGAAAATGCCTGCAGCTTAAACCCCATTAAAAAGCCCTTGCAAATAAAACAGCCTTACAGCACCCCCCTCCATTCCGCAAGATAGGAGCCACTATAGAAAAGGAATGGGTTCTAGTAGATACAAAATAGTTTCCCTTAAGCGGGGGGACAACTAGAAGGTGGCAACCAGAAGACCACAGTTGGTGCTTGGGGCCATATGGGGAGAGGCAGTCCTTCAGTCCACCGTTTCTTTACTTCATTTATATCCCAATTTTTGCCCCAATGGGGACTCAAAGTGGGTAACAATATTCTCTTCTCCTCTGTTTTATCCTCACAACAATCACGTTCATTAGGTTACTGTATGATTGGCCAAAGGTTGCCCAGCAAGTGTCCATAACAGAGTGAGGTTTTGAATCTGTCTTTCCCAGATCCCATTTGAACTGTCTAGCCGTGGGGTGTCAAGCATGTGGCCCGGGGGCCGGATGAGGCCCCTGGAGGGCTTCTGTCAGGCCCGCAGTGGAACTGGCTGTCTTCTGCTTCTTCTTCCAGTTCTGCTGCGGCTGTGTCATTGTAGATTTGCAGCTTACAGATACACACCTGAACAGCATACTCAAGATTGCAACAGCACAGACATTTTGATGCAATAATTCAGAGCAAGAGGTGTCAGTTATCAGACACTGTTAAATAAACAAAATATTGCAAGAGTGCTAATGTTTTAAACATGTTTTTATTTTAAGTAAAAAAAAATCCCTTTGTGTTTGTGTCCTTTATAAAGTTTATATCTCCGCTACCTGGCATTACATTTTATGACGCACATGGCCCGGCCCAACAAGGTCTCATTTATGTCAGATCCGGCCCTCATAACAAATGAGTTCGACACCACTGGTCTAGCCACTACCCTATGCTGGCTCTCAAACAGGATAACGTGCTATACGGGACCAGGGAATAAACCTTGTTCTCTGTTTTTGGAGGGAGAAATAGCAGGTCTTCTAACCCGCAATTGAATATCTGCTGTCTTCTGTTTTGTTTTGGGTCAGTCCAGCCATCACTGTGAATCAAGGTGAGATGAGCAGCCCCCAGCGGGTCACCTCTAGCCAGCAGCAGACTCGCATTTCTGCCTCTTCGGCGACGAGGGAACTGGACGAGCTGATGGCTTCACTGTCTGACTTCAAGGTGCCCTGTCCAATACCTGGCATGTGCCACTCGCTTGTCCATGTGTCTTTCCTCACCTACTCCTTCCCTTTGCCTTCTGTGAGAGTTCTGTGTGCACAAGTGCACTTCTTTCATCCCCACCCCCCCAGGTGTTTTTGTTCCTCGGTGGTTCATTCCGTTGTTGCCCTTCTCACACCATGCCTTGTGTGATGGGCCCTTGCAGCTGGACATAAGAGTTTTCCTCTTCTGCTGCACGACTAGGCTGTCTTCTCAAGGAACACAAAGTCTTCAAGTTACATTTGGGAGCTCATGTGCATGTTTCCATTTCACACCTTGCTAAATATTTGCCAAGGGGTGAACAAGGTCGGGGGTGGGAGTTTGAGAATATGTTTGTGTAAGAAACTTCTAAAAAGGAGGGTGTATAGGGAAGGCAGGAGATTTCCCCTGCAGTGGCTGCACGACTGTGGGGAAAGTGACTGCAGGGAACCCAAACCCAGCGTCTCAAAAACCGTAGTGTGTAGCTTGGCCCTAAGCCCCAGTTCTTCCAGGAAACACATTTTATTATTCCATCTTTCAGGAAATCCATTTGACAGAGAGTGCAAGATAAGTTTGGGGAATTCTCTCTTCTGAACTTTTTCTTTTAAGATACCTCCTTAGTCTAACCCAGGCATTCCTCTGAAATGGAGTTAAGGCCTTGTTAAAGCTTTTCTGGTGACTGTAGTTAAGCGAGGATGCTAAAGCACAACGGGAATTTTATATAGATTTTTATATCTTACCCCTCCCCCCCCATAGCAGTGTTTACTGTTGGAACTGTTCAGTTTAGAGGTCTAAAATAAATAAATTTTGTTCCTTCCGATCCCAGTCCCATAGTGAACCGAACTCCGGCAGTTTCTGTAGCACCCACATGCATCCTTCTGTTATAGCTGTTCGTGATTTTTTCTCCTGGTGTGTCTCTGATAAGCTGTCTGTGCTAAGAAAAATGCTCTGACCGTCTTCAGGTGACCTTGCAATGAAAGGTGGAGAAATTAGAAGGGGTGGGGGGGAGGAGTTGTTGTTGATGCTTAGCATTTTAAAGCAAGAGGCAAAAAACAGAGGCTGCAGGCAGGACAGAACAGGGACAGAAACCTAGCTAACAAAGCCGGGAGGTTGCTGTATTTTGAGAGACAGCCTTTATGCAGTTAGTTCTGCTTCATTTCTCTTGCTGCCTTCTGAAAGTCTCATGTAAAGAAGTGGCTTAAGGAGTGTTGTTGTATTGTTCAAACAGGAAGTATATATAGTGTGTATCCTGGAAAGCTTCCTTATGTGACTTGTTTGTATTTTAACATTTTTAAAAGGGTCTGAACAGGCTTTTACCTTTGCTTGCCCCCTTTTTCTTTCTACCCACCCATGCTCCACATATCACTCTTGGACGAGTATAACACCATCATGTTGGATCAGAGTGAGGGCAAGTGTATTCCTAAGAGTCCCAAAATATTATCATCTGATTGTCTTTTAGTTCTTTCTCTATGCTAATTTAGTTGCAAAGTGGCATGCTACTACTTCCGCAATTTGCCGTTAATTTAACTGGACAGTGTAGGTGAGAAGCAAAGGAAAAGGCAGTAGCACTTAAGAAAAATGTAAGTGCAGAGGGCAAAGTCCAGCTGGCTGTGTGTTTGCTGGTGGATTAGTCCTTCGCAGACAAATCCACCACATGAAGTGATCATAAACTGGAAAGCGCTGGTTGTATTTGAACAGGTGATGTGTTCCAAGTACAAGAGAGCTCAGTGGTAGAACACCTGCCTGGCACACACAAAGTCCCAGGTTCAATCTCCGACATCTGTAGTTAAAAGGGATCCGGAGTTAGGTGACGTGAAGGACATCTGAGACTCTGGAGAGCCACTGCCAATCAGAGTAGAGGCAGTTTCTTGTAGTCTGCAACTGTAACGGCAGTTTCATGTCGTCACCCCGTTCCTTAGTTCTGCAGACATTTCTGCCAGGGTTTTATCTTTATCTTCTCCTGTCTGGCATACTAGACGTTATGACTTAATTTGAAAAAGCTTTGATGGTAACCCAAATTGTATGCCAAGGAAAGGTGAACTCTGGTATCTGTTTTCAGTTAAGCAGATTTCTGCCATTTGCCTTATTTTTGCACAATTTATTTAGTCATAAGAATAAGCAAGAACATCCCTGGCCATTGAAATCTTATTCAACAGCCCTTTGAACTTCCAAGAGTTTGATAGGCATTTCAAGCATCTGTTGGTACCATAAAGGCTAAAAAGCTTGGTTTTGTTTTGTATTTCCATGAAAGCTGAGGTTCTCGGGTAGCTAGACTCTATGCTCCAAGTACTTTTTCAGCTTTGGGGCCAGGATCACAGCTCCTGCACAGCCCAGGTGGTGAAAGGTGAAAGCTCCTGACTGTTGGGTCCTGACAAGAGCATTGATGGATGACTTGCTGTACAAGCATCCTAGATTTAAAATTCCTTGTACTGTGTTGCGGGGCGCTTGAAGCTTTCCACGGTTTTGAACAAAGCTGAGTTGTTTGGTTAAAAGGGTGCAGTCTCTGACCTAGAACACTCTTCTCAGATTCAGTTGCATGAGAACAAGGTGGGGAAATAGCCACTCAGCCCTCTGAATGTTTTGTTTACAGGTGTGCTGAGCTCTTGCTTTTGTCTCTAACTGAACTAGCCAAGCAGGGGACAGGGCTGAGATGTGGGGCTGTTTGAGTAAGCGGGTGGCTTGCTGCGCCTGTTGGATTCCGTGCAGGTTTCAGTTCAATTGTTCTCATGACCTACTTTTGCAGAGAGAGAGAGAGAGAGAGAGAGAGAGAGAGAGAGAGAGAGAGACTGACTGACTGACTGACTGACTGACTGACTGACTGGCCGGCCTACTGTCAGAAACTGTGTAGCTCCGTTGCCACCTTCTGCCCTGCCTCATGATGATATTTTCCCTTCCGGCTACCTTCGATAACATTTTTGGTTTAGCATCATTTTATGTGATCCCCCCCCTCCCCCCCATTACTATTTTCCTCTCTTTCTTCAATTCTGTTTCCGTCTTTCTCTCATCCTCCCCCACCTTCCCCCCCCATCTCTCCTCGACCCCGATTTCGTTCTCTTTCCACAGACCAGTTCCACTATATCACTGACCTCTGAACCTTCCCTGGAGCTGCTTCCCGGCCCTGTCAGCCCAGATTTAGCTGACAGCATGGCTCCCCTGGCTACCTCACAGCAACAAACCACAGGCCGTTACAGGGATGTGCCAGGCCCCCTGGCACCTATGTCACTGGAGGTCCTTCACATTGAAGAGGAGGGCAGTAGTCCGGCCATAGCGGGTGTTCTGGGACATCCTCCTACCACCCTACAACATCCTTCTAGATCCTGGGCCGAAGTAACTCTTCCAGAGGCATCCGCTGCCCTCTCAGGGTCAGACGAATTGAGCACAAAGCCCACATCCAATGGGGCTTTTCTCTCGGTTTCTAAGATGCAGTCTGTGTGTTCTAGTACAGGACGCCAGAACTGGACACCGGCAGAACCAAAAAAGCCTCAGAGTGAGGAGCAGAGGCATGGAACCAAAATTGCGACAGCCTCTGCTTCAAGCTCTTGCGTAAGCAGCAGGGCGCCAACAAAGCTGGAGCGGGGGGCTACGCTTGATCAAACAGCTGCTGCTCACAAGAAGAATGAGGTTGACAGAATGGCTGTCAGTGAGCTGAGCCATTCAGAAACGCCTTGGCGTACACCTAGAGCACCTCTTGATAGAGACCATGTTGCTCCAGCAAGGTACCAACCTGATCTTTGGAGTGTGGATCAGTGGGATAACTTCCCAGGAGCCCGAGGCCAGCTGAACCGTACTGTACAGCAAGTCACTAAGCAAGCGGCTGGAATCCAAGAACCAGCTAGGGCAAATAGCTGTCCTGATGTTGCTGAGAAGAGGCATGGTCAAGAGAGGACTTCCAGGAAAAACAGTCTTCAGAATATACCAGTAGACCAGCAGAAAGGGTCCCTCTCCACCCTGATAGTAGCTCCAGAGTCTATGGGAAAAGCCAGAAAAGAGGAGCTGGACCTTCTCCCTGCAACTTCCAGGATTCCTGTAGAGAGGATTTCTACATCAGGCCAGGCATGCATCATAGTGAACGTAGAGGGGAGCAAATGTCTAGTTAGGAAATCTCCTGGTGGTGCAGCTAGTTTGCCTGTGCATGATATAAGTGCCTTTGGGATTTCTCCCATAATGGGTTGGTGTCCAGAAATAAGTTTGTCTTGCATGTTTTGCCGAAGTAGATTTAGTAATGGCTGCATGGGGCTGTGAGCTGCTCTTAAGTTTTGATTGGCACCCTTTGGTCTGGTGCTTGGCTCCGTTTGAGACATGAGAATGAAAAGCTGCTTGCAGTCTGTCTGCCATGGGACACTTACCAGGGGTGAGGCCTTAGAGAGAGGATTCAGAAGAGCAGCACAGTGTATGATGGCAACCAAAGGAACCTCTTTTCAGGTTATCACTCAGGCAGTATGTTGGTAACCTTGCTGGCATAGCATGTGGCCTAGTTCTGGAATTATTCTGTGCAAATGCGGTAGGCTGTATCTGCAAAAGCTTGTACTACAAGGGTGGGAAATGGACCTCTAGGCTCTTAAGGCCTTCAAGTTATTTTGCTGCTGTTGATTGCTGTGGCTGTTCTTCTGCATGACGTGTACCCTTACACTGTCTCCAAGTTGTTGGGATTGGAGAATCCCCTAAGTGCTTAAGGCCATCATGATGGTTATAAAGTTCTTAAACCTGAAGAGATGACCTCTGTTGAACTTGGCCTACTGCAGCGACTTTGTTGGCTTTCTGTAGTTAGAGCTGTGTGTGTTCAGCTGACATTGCTCTCCTTAGAGGACTTTTCTAAAAAAATTGAGCTTATGCCTATGGCGCTGCCAAAATTATTTTTTTCTCCCCACTGAGAAATGAATGGCTTCTGCCCCCCCCCCCATGGCCACTAACTTTGTTGAGTATGAAGCTTGCGCTTCCTGTGCCATTCAGTTAGAGCTGTAGTTCTTGTTTTTTGAGGCTGTCAT